CGGGCCTAGGGGTGGGGTGGGGCGGGTGGGGGGGGGGGGGGGGGGGGGGGGGGGGATTGAAGTGGAAATGCTGCTCAGGTGCTGGAAGTCCACATGCACATCTGTTTGGCGATCTGCAGCACAAAGACGATGTCCGGCCGCTGGTCTGGTTCTGGGTTGATGCACGTGCTAACCAGGTCCCGCAGCTGTGGAGAGTTTGTCTTACCGTTAACACATCCCATCACAAGTCCCTCTGTAATATTATTCTTAAACTACAATTACCGCCTCAAGGTTGTATGCCTCCACCAACCAGCAATGTTGAACTTTACATCCATGTCCGTCCAAAATATTATTTATGATAGTGATTCATTATAGAGAGAATGAAAATATAGACAAAAAGAACTGGATTCGTCCTTATTGATGCTGTTGGTGTTAGTTTGTGACTACATTGACCTTAAAAGTAGATGTCTGTGTTCACGGTACTTTTTTTTGTTTTCCCTGAGAAAGATGTGAATCATTGGTGGGGTTCAGTGTGACTGAGGCCTAACAGTCGGGTGTGTGTTGCTCTACCTTCTCAGAGTAATGGTCAGATGGGAGGGGAGGGTAATCGCACTGCTCAATCTTCTGGCAGAGGGAGAGGAGGTTCATCTTGTCCCCGTAAAACGGACTCTGCAGCGCTGCCATCTGGAGACAGAGGAAGACGGGATGGATGAGGGAAATTCTTAGAAGTAGTGGTGTGTGTGTGTAGACAGTGAACACTGGAAACAAAAACAATGCAAAAGACCAACTCGGACTACCCCGTCCAATAACACCGTATAACATTGCTCTTGAATAACTTCCAATACATTAATGCCTTAAGTAACAAGGGAAAATGACCATCTCTCCATTCATACACTTTACACATACCCAGATATGACACCTGCAGTCTGAGGTGTAGATAGTTCCCTGAGGTGCACCAGTGCCCCTTATCACCATCTCAGGGGCACAGCCACTCTGACACGCTGGCCAATGGGGTAGTCCATGATCCAGTTCACTGTGTATGACTTTAACCCTGATTCTCCACTTGGCGGCAGTTTTTGTCTCGCCTTTGCAAATCGGAGCCCAACCACTATGTGTGAACTGTTCATAGATGCTAGCCAAAGAGGCTCCCTGATGCATCACAGAAGCATTCCATGTTTAAATGAAATATCTGGACCTGTTGGGGACTTACAGCCAATGAGAGCACAAGACAGCGGTTGAGGGGTAACCTGGAGGAGGAGTCGCCTGTAACAATAGGAACTTTACTGTATGCGTTTCATTTGCAGCACGGACCAAAGTTGTTGCACTTGGAGGATATAGGGTATACATAGTAAAGACGTGTGGAAACAGGCTATTTTTGTGAACTCCTGCCAACGACAACATCAACAAGCATGACTACAAGGAAAGTTCAGCAGATTGCTTGAACAAAAAAAATCCTACATGGTATAACGTCATTTCCTGTGTCACTTCTTGTGTGCGTTTCCATGACAAAACATAGTCTGGAGATCAGAAAAGCAGTTTGCAGGGTCCTTAGGTGCAGCAGAAGCCTTTTAAGGGTCCTCATGACATGTGACGTATAGGTGCCACAGGTGTGTAGTCTTTTGAGAGTGCTGGGACATCCTTTCTTTGGCACGGGAAACCATGCAGGAGGTCTTCCATAGTGTCGAAAGATTTAAGAAGGGCTGGACCTAAAGCTTCCAGGCACAGTAGATTTATTTATTGTGAGCCTGGAGAACTCCCTTTCCACCTGGCTTAAGGTTAGGGAAAGCCCACAGGGATGGGGGTTGTGTCAAACTCAATTGCTGGCTTGAATATGTAAGAAGAAAGAGAAGTAGTAGGAATAGTTGAAACAAAGGAATGGGTATAATTTGTATGAATGTCATTGAATAGTTGAATAATACCAATAGTGTATAAAATAAGCTAAACTGAATTGCTGGCTATAAATGGTGAATAATACCAATAATGTGTGAGAGATGTGGAACATTATAAGGTTTGAATGGGGTTTCTCTCTAAAAGTAGAGAAACGTCTGTGTGTGTGTGTGTGATGTCAAACTGCACTATTTAGCTCATCTCAATCAGCTGTGTGTCTCCTGCTGCACTCAAAGTTTGCCATGGTGATAGCAACTGATACTGTACGTCACTGCTGATAGTGACTCTAAGGACACTCAGATTAATCTGAGGCCTCTAACTGAGAGGAGCTTTCAATATTTCCAATGGCATTCATATAAATTAATCCTTTTCCCGCTTCTCCGACTACTTCACCTTCTTCCTACACGTAAAGCCAGTGATTCGTTGTAGCGTCTGCTTCTCAGCATCCAGCTTTCACACCGCAATCCAATCTTCAGAAATTGCCTCCTGTAGTACTTCCATGTAATTGTTCCTCCTCTGACCCAGGAGATCCCATCCTCAAAGGTTGACTGCAGTAATCTTGTATTACAGGGAGTATGAGATTTGTGGTGCTGTATTACGTGCTGCTAGCAGGGCTTAAGACGCTAACTACGTCTAAACGTCAGCTATTTCAAAATGAAAAGTAAAGAAACTACATAACACATTTTATGAACAAATGTACTTTTGGGGCAGTAAGTTGTGCAATTTTAAAAATGAAGAAGTAAAAACTAGTAAAAGCAAAAGAAGCAGTAAAAAGGGAAACGATGTATGAAGAGTGAGAAAGTGTCTGGTGTCTCATGTGGTGATGCAGCCAGAGAAGAAATGAGACACATAATGCTGCTCATTCAGTCTCTGTTGGCCTGTCAAAACATCCTGACATGCACAGAGAATATCCAGAGCACAGAGGACTGTGACACCATTGTCTCTGTCTCAACAATGCATTCCAATGAAACACATAGAAATGTGACAAAGAATAGGAGTTATTATGTCCACAATGATGGCCAGCATCTGGCTGGACAGATGCTGGGAAAGCAGCTATCTAGCCTGCAGAGTAGAGCTAGCTACACTCTTTAAAAGTTGAAAATCAGAAAAGCTAATCAAATAATTAACTCTTATTCTAAACTAAATGAGCAGTCAAAGTGAAGTTAGACACAACTTTTTTTCTATTCTCTTTTCTGGTAAAGGACACCCAGTGTGAACGCATAAGGCCCATCAAAACACCCTCGCGTACCGTTTCCCTTATAAACAGACCCACAGAGCATCTCTTGTTTTATGTGCGACCGTGGCTAAGTGGAGAGCAGGGCCGTCCTTCAATCAGAGGATCCGCGGTTCGATCCCCAGCTCCGGGTAGTCGCATGTTGATGTGTCCTTGAGCAAGACACTTAACCCCCAATATTGCTCCCATAGCTGTGCCTACGGTGTGTGAATGTGATAGAATCTGAATTGTAAGTCACTTTGGATAAAAGCTAAATGCTAAATGACTGTAATGTAAAGTAATTTATTCCCTCAGTAAACACTGTAAGTTTCAAGTCTTCTTCAATACAGCATGATGTTCATTTGGTAAACTATGGTCCATTTAGAGTCAAACAGACCATAGAGCAGGGGATGCTTTAAGGGCGGAGCTAACTGTGACTGACAGATCACTGCTGCTACCAGAGTCTCTACATCACTCCTCTGCATTCCAAATATGGCAACTTCTGTTCATCGGTTGCGAAAAAACAAGATGGTGACGGCCGTAATCCAAGATGGCGACGGCGAAAACACCGAACTCAAGACTTCAAAACATCAGTCCACAAACTAATGTGTGATGTCACGATGACTACGTCCACTTCTTATATACAGTCTGTGACTCCGGCAGAAGAGCAGGAGACGGACACCTGAAAAAACGCAGCCAATGTGTTTTTCTAATGGTGCAGACGCACCATTGGATCTACTGCTGGTCATCATCATCAACACTTGGGGACCACCGTGGCCGGAGCCATTATGTTTTCCAGTTGTCTTTCAGTCCGTCCCTTCCTCGTGAACACAATATCTCGCCTTCAGGGAATTTTTTCATAATTGGCACAAACCTCCACTCGGACTCAAGGATGAACTGATCGGCTGGGGCATACAGACGCGAGGCAGTAGTTCTAGTCGTCAGTATCTTGGGATGTAATAAACTTTGCAGTCTCCAGGGGCCATAGCAGGGCTTTTACTCTTTGCAGGGCAAGAAAGTTATCATTTATCTGAATAATTGACTATCAATAAGGGTCAAAGTGTATGTGATCTTACCTCGTACAAAAGACATCCCAGGGACCAGATGTCAGACTTAAAATTGTATCCGATCTCGTGAATCCTCTCCGGTGACATGTAGTAAGGTGTCCCCACTGAGACGGAGAGGGCAGTAAACAAATGATCATTTTGTTCAAAAGTGATAACTTCTTCATTGCCTTCACAATCTAGCACATAAAATGAACACCTATCATAGTATTGATCAGATTTGATTTAAAATTAGTTTCAAATAGGTCTGTCATTTGTTCAATCAGCACTAAAATATTATACAACTGAGCTGTATCTTGTTGTTTTTGCATGAATGTGTGCTCTGTATATACATGTGGAGTATGTGTTGCAGGTGCTTTACCTAAGGAGTGTGCTGCCGTGGTGTTAGAGCTGAAGAAGCGGCCTAATCCCAGGTCACCCAGCTTTACCTCCCCTGTGGCTGTTATGAACACGTTGGCTGGCTTGATATCTGGTTCACACACACACACACACGCACATTTAAACCAATCAATGCACATCAATAAAAAATAAAGCTTATCAGAACATAGTAAGCTATAGAGAAAGATGAGCTATGTTAAGTATTGTATTGAATATTGACTGTAGAGTAACAATTGAAGTAAGAAAGTGTCAGCGTAAGAAAACAAAACTATGAAAGCAAAACAGAGCTGAGAGGACGGTTTGGGTAGAGCAGAGAAATGGTGAAACATATCAGTAGAAACTAAATATGGAGATGATGAAGTGTGCATGGCGTGGATGAGGACTGAGAGGAGGGCGAGTAAAGCAGTGAGTAGCGGTTTACCACGGTGCATTACTCTGCGTGAATGCATGTGCTCCAGAGCGCTGCAGAGCTGCACGAAATATTTCCATATGGTCCTCTCTGGGATGAGGCGCCTCTTCTTTTTGAAGTACTAAACAGATAGAAGGCAGGATTGTTAGTCCATAAAAAGTTACAATGTTTAACTGAAAGATGCTACGTGTAGCATACTGTATTTACTGCAGTGTGAGCAGCGGGTGTGTATATTGTAACCTCTTGCTTTTTCTTTTGGTGTCCACGTTAACAGATTACAGCAGCCAAACCGCCCGCATAAGCCATGTAAAATATAGTGAAAATATCATCATACCAACATTACTACAATTTCAAAATCTATATCTGTAGAACAAGTCACAGACATGAAAAGGGCGATATGTATTTAGCTAAACACTTCCCGTTCCCATTTCTATATTTAAGCTCTTTAGCATCTTTCTGTGGACAGAATCTCTTCATTTGCTAACAAGGCTTTTATTATGAAATATTTCCAGGACAGTGTTGTGGAAAATGCAGTGGCTGTCACATCTTTTAATTGTGGATTGGTATTATTTACAAATGAGCACACAGTTCTTAATCTTTTTCAGTGTAAACTTAATATAAATGACATTTATAATGAAATGAAATGAAACTCTATGCAGAAAGAAGCCAGGCTGTCGGTGTGGACAGCACATGTGTGAGAGAGGCAGCCGCTCAGCGAGGCAGCCGGCACACGTTGCTCATGCAGGCAGTGTGACCCGAGAGTTATGGGAACCAGTTCAATACAAAGGTTATCTAAAATATGAATGTTGGTAAAGGGGAGTACATTTTGGAGAGAACTGACTCTGCTAAGTCAGACTGGCCAATAGCGTAGCATCGGCCAGCCCCTACCATGGCCGGACAACTAACACTTCTGCTCCAGACTTTAGATTGCACTAGACTTTGATGCAATGGATTTATACATCTTTCATTTTCAGGCTGGTTTTGTGGATTTGGAGCTCGTCATGGTTAAATTTAGTTGGATAATATTTCTTCAGGGAGTGCAGTTAGTGACAGTGTGGGCTCCATGGTAGCTCTGAGAGCTTGATGGAGTAGCAGCTGGGGGTGGGGCTTAGCAAAGGGTCAATTCACAGGGTAACACAGGGATCTCATTTTCAAACCCATGCAGAATATCTGGTGATTTCCGACCTGTATCATCTGGGACAGATCTCCAGCATCCGCCAGCTCCAGAACAATGTTGAGCTCATTGTCTTCAATGAAGGAGTCGAGGTATTTGATCACATTGGGGTGATTCAGTTGCTGCAATGAATGGAAAAACAGAAGGAAGATTGTTCTTGGCGGGCACTAATCTGTTATATGTTCATGTTAACACAACATACATGCTCATCTTTACCTTTAGTAGATCTATCTCTTTGATGCAGTCCTGACGGGCCTTGGCATCCATCATCTCAAAGATCTGCAGTGACAAAGATAGAAGTTAACATGAATTCATGAGTTCTGGTAATGGACCCAGACTCTTCGACCAATTCTATTATCTTGCGCAATATTGACCAATTAGGGAATCACTAAAATACTGAAATTTGAGACATAAAACAATGGCAATCGGGAGTGTCTTGCAAAAATATGGAAGTTGAAGCCTGATTACTTTTTAAACGGAACAAGTCCGCCAGAGATCAGACAAGCTAAGTTTAGGATGGACGTGGTTCATGCTAGCGGGACCTACCTAGCTAGCTCGGCACAAGCCAAATCAAACGACAACAGCTAAATATTAGCAGCAATCGACTCCCTGAAAGCAGACGTTCACATCCAAAATGACGAACTTCTGGCTGCCATCTCTGAAATCTAAACTAATCTCAGCTCTGACTCATGAAGACTGACGTAAGCCAAGGGTCTCTTGGTGACACAGAAGACAATGTGGTGGTGCTTCAAAAAAAGGTGGATGAATTGGTCACAGCAGTCACAGAGAAGATGGACAACCTTAAAAATCATCATAGGAGGTCCAATCTACGTGGCTCCAGTCTCCCGGAAAACGCTGACGGCAGAAGTGAAGCCACGACTCCAGGCACAGAGAGTAGAAATAGGCTTACTCTTCCCTACTAAGATAAACAAGCTGCACAACGGGAGAACGGACGCGTGTTTGAAGCGCTTGAGGAGGTTGAAGAATTTCTCCATTAAAGAAAAAGACATCTATGACGGCTACGCAAGGCTCGTTAACATATTTAAATCATTCAGTGGAGTGTCACACTTTCCCACTTTGACTGACCTACAGAGGACTTTCTACAGTTTTGTTGGGGTTGGTGCTTCGTTTTGTTCTCAGTTTGGTTGGGACTGAACAAGGACGACCTATCGTAGCCTAAATAAGATGCAGACTACCATTATGTTTTTCCTTTAAATAGATACTATTAGCTTTCCTCCTTTTGTAGATTCTTTTGCATCGCTGTTGATGTTAATTGCTACGCAGTTCACGTACATCCAGCTTATGTTCAAGGCTGTTCTTCAGTTCCAGCTGTGGTAGCCTCTTGACATGGGCCTAGTGAGTGCTGAAATGTAGTTCATGAAGTTTAAGATCCCGAAGGAATATGAACAAAACTAGAATGAATATTTTATTTCATCTATCAAACTAGAACGCAACAATCTCAACTGGAAACGTTCTGTTTTGTCTCCCCTCAAGTACCTGGATTGGTCAGTTGTATGTTTTAACTCCTTTTACAGGATCGGTTGAAGAACGGCCTAGGAGCTGCTAAATGTAAAGGGTTGGAAGGACTGCACAGGTTGACAAGGCAGCTGTGTTTCTAGTATGTCTAGACATATGGATTTATGGTCTATTTGACTCTAAATGGAGCATCATTTACTAAATGAACATCATGCTGTATAGAAGAATACTTGAAACTAGAGATTGAGACCATAAACTCATGTTTACAATGTTTACAGAGGTAATAAATCAAGAGAGAAGTAGAGTAATCTTCTCATAGACTTCTATACAACCAGAGGAGTCGCCCCCTGGTGGTCAGTAGAGGGAATGCAAGTTTTAAGACACTTCAGCATCGGCTTCACTCGGCAGAACCAAAGAAATGCCGCCTAGTTTTGCCCCTTTTGGCAATCTTGATGATCCATAAAATATTAACACTATCAAATTTACCAGTTGATAAAATCACATGCACTGTGCTAACAATCTTGACATAAGTATGAATTTAGAATTGAGAATAAGGTCCTCAGCAGTATCTGCTGAGTGCTGTACCTGGACTTTCTTGAGGGCAACCAGCTGTCCCTCAAGCAGGTACGTGGCTTTGTAGACCTCACTGAACTGGCCCCGACCAATCTTCTTCTCAATCCGGAAGTTTGCCAGAGTGCAGAAGTACTTACAGCTTGGCACGTTTTTCTGGACACGAAAACACCACATTAAAAGGTCGAACAATGTAGTGCATTAAAGTGCATCGGGAAACTTAGTTGCATCGAATAAATCTCACTCTCTGGAAAATGTCTAAATCCTTAACTGTGGCTTTTAAATGATGATGACGGAACCGAAGAGCAAATACAGTCCTGCCAACAAACAGCAATTACTGTACTTTTGGGGTGTAAGATAATATAGATACAGTGGAGTATGAAGATGTTATGTTTTGTGATACTGTTGTCGATTTTCAAAAACACTATCGATTAACATAATTCATAGTTTACATGCAATGATTGGTGGCAGACTGTGGCTCAGATTGTACAAAAAGTAGTGCTATGATGTTGGATGTTACAGGAACTGTGACAAATGTCAAAGCAGATCCCACTGATCTGGTTGCATAAAAGAAATAAACTATTTTTCCCTAAAATTATAATAATAAAAAAGAAATTGCAATATATCGAATTGTAACCCCTTTACAATATTACAGATTTTTTCCAATACACAACCCTAATAACTTCATCACTGAGTAGCCATCGATGTCCCCCCTTCTACTTATTATTATTATTGTACAGTTCAAACATGTTGCTCTGTCTGTTTGGAACTTAACAGAGTCTGAGAGGACTTTTCTAAATAATGGGGAATACATTGCATTGTCCGAATGTCCAAAGCAGACAATAAAGACAAATCAATTTATAAAGCTATAACATTAATCATTTGACAATTTTGGGAGATCTGCGTGTCTTCTTTCTTGTCTCAGCATAAAGGCTGAAAACAGGGGCACACAGTTAGCCTGGCTCTGTCTACAAGTGAAAACCTGACAACGCTCTACCAGCACCTCTAAAGCTCACTGATGAACAAGTTCTATCTCTTGTGGTTGAACGGGGTGTAATGTACCAGAATATCTCTGTGCTGGGTAGTGACTTCCTGGACATTCTGCTGGTTGTCCGGCAACCTCACGGTGAACGATGAGGTTATGATACCAAGAAATGACTGCACCAGGCCCAGATATAGTCCAGCACCCAGTGAAAACGTGTCTTTTTTTCTAAGATTACATGTAATGGAGTAAATGAGTGAGCTTTTAGATGTGCTGGTAGGTGGATTTTACTGCATTTAATCAGAGTTAAGCTAGTTGTTTCCAGTTTTCATGCTAAGCTAAAATAACATGCTGCTGGTAGAGCTTTATATGTAGGGCACGAACATGAGAGTGGTCTCAATCTGAACGTCTAACCCTCAGCAAGAAAGAGAAGAAGCATATTTCCAAAAATGTCAAACTATTCCTTTTGATGTTCATCAGTGTAAACAAAACAAAATGTACACAGTACGTGAAAAGTAGAAGCAAATCTTTTTTTTGGGGAGCTAACTGCAAGTATCAATTGTGTTGACATACACGTCATGGAACTTAATATGATAGAGAGGTTTTAGAATATTTTCTAAAGCTCAGGTACGTTGAACGTGTCTAATAATTTGGTTGAAGGCCCTACCTGATCCTCCTGACCGGGTATTTTGTAGAGATGGTTGTGGTTGTCTAAGGTGAGCTGGTTGTTGTTCTGCGCCTCCATGGTAGCATCACAACCACCAACTCCTGTAACAGAGAAGATAAATGATCAAATCTTCAATTATTCAGCACATTTAGAGTCTCAGAGCATTTTAACATAAGATAATACATTTTGCATGAAAGCAAGGTGACCTGAATGCCGGCTGCACGTGGCCCACATGAGTTAAACTGATTTACAGCAGGAAACGCCAGTGATACCACATCTCTGTGACACTGTGTGTGTGTGTGTGTGTTAACTAATAAGCTAAAGGAATATGCACATGCTGACATTTGCAATATTGCAAATCAGTAATGAGAGCATTGAGACTGGTACGTACTTTAAGAACTTCTTCTGACAAGCAGAGCTCAATAGGAAAATCGCCCAAATCACTGTATTATCTTATGGAATTGGTAACACTGAAAGGTTAACGGTTGTACCAAATTTCATTGAAATCTGCTATGTTACAAACAGAACTGAATCTTCCGAATATCTTCCCTTTCTACTGTACTTGTTTGACTCTGCAATGTGAATTATAGACCCATAGAATTGTAAAAGTATCCACATAGCTTAATGATATCAGCATTTTCATCGTCTATTGATGCTATAGTATAACACTGCACTATTAATATGTTATCTTAAATGATTTGACTACTCCCGTTGCAGTCAGCTATCGTGTTATTTCAGTGACAGTTTGACCCTCAGGTGACGGGTCCTCTACAGTACTCATCATTGGTCTCCATTACTGGTCTTCAGCAGGTCCCTTAATTACTTAAAGGTGAAAGACTTTCCTCTTTGGACCTCCAACAGCAGGGCTTTCAATATATGACACTCCTTATATGGTGTTATTGGGGCGTTTATTATGCTAATGTACTACTCCTGAACGTGCGCTCACGTATGCACAGCTGGCCCTCATCATGTTTACGCTGCTCATTTACACAGTTATCTGAAGTTAGGAGCGTTTACTGAATCTGATGTGGAAACACTCGTACAAGGCCACCATAGGAAAAAAAGTAGGAGGAAGTTCAGATAAGAACACCGAAATGTTCTTGCATGACATCAAATGTTTCTAAATCACCTAAATGCACATCTGTGATTTGTCTGTACTAACATGTCTTGTATTTCTGCTGCTCCTGCCTATGAACTACCACTATAGACTCACTTTCATGTGTGGAAAGTGAATTCTGAGGTCAAACCATTCATTTTTATATAAGGACAAGGTCCTAGTGATAGCTAAAATACATAGTTTTAGCTTAAATGCATTAATTGTTACCAAAATATGGAACAATGATTAATAAGTCTCAAGACGCTCCAAAAATATACATGGTAAAGATATGAATTTGTATAAAAGAGGACAGTGATGGCACTTGTCTTTGGCAATCAGAAATAATCATAATACATATTAAATAAACAGAATTTAACTTGTGTTAAATCCACGCCAGGGGAACACAGAAGAGGAAGAGAGCTTTAACATTGACCAATCACATCGCAGTAATGCACCATTCAGCAGCTGAGAGTTTGGGAAGCACAACGGAACACGTGAAGCAATTCAGTAGCTGTATTTTGTATTTTGCTTGGGAGACCCTACTTATGAACGCTTCTTAATTAGTTCATTAGCATTGATCCCAAAGTGACCGAAAAACATAAAATTGAATCTGCCGGTTCCAACAGCCAGGGCAAAAGTTGTGCTGGAGGTAATGGCCAGCAGATTCTTACCTCATTTTCTGGTCTGCTCGGCCGTATGTGGCGGCAGAGATGCTGGCAGCGTTTGCCAGATACGGTGGAGTTCAGTTTCTTTCTTCTAAAGATGGCTGGATGTGGGCCTTTGGGCCGTATTGGGGTTCCTTCAGAGGCTGAAGAGAAGAAAGAGATGGTCACCGGTGCTCCTTTCAACACTCACCACTGCAGCCTGTACTCTCTAGTCTACTGACCATCACTCCATACTTAGAGATTAATCCACTGGTATCAGTTCATCTACAAAACTATCATTGGTAAAAAAAACTCATATCTCCACTTACTACTCATCACCTCCAACAGTAACCGCAATTTACGCTCTAGCTACTTCATCAACATGGTCATTCCAAAAGTCTGCAGTCTGCTGCTCCAAGCGACTGGAACGAGTTACAAAAGAAGCTAAATCTCTATGATCACTGCACCTGGTTCTGAGTTTGCTTCTCCAGGAACACCGTTTGTTTTTCTATATTGAACATATTATGATGTTGTAATTTTTGGATGAGATTGTTTGAGATGTTTCGATGTTTTACTTTGTTTTGTAACGACTTGCCTCCTGTTGCTGCCTTTTTGGCCAGGGGGTCATTGTAAATGTGAACTGGTTCTTGACTTATCTGGTATAAAATGTTTGAAAGCTGGCCCTCCTCAGTTGCTGAATGATACTCGAACATCTGATATCACCCACTAAATAAAACCGGCTCATAGATGCCAATCATGTTGTACCATCTGTTGTTGTGAACAAAACATATACGTATGTATGTCTATATGCATGCAGAGCAGATGAATGGGTGAAATCAACTCAATATATGTCAGTATCAAAGCAAGTCCACTGTCTTAAGTGGTCCTCAGGAATGTGTAAAGGAGGAGGAGTTAAGCAGCCACCCAGACAGATGTGGTTCCTGCTGTTAAACAAGCTTCCTACATTTTCTGTAAGTTAGTTAAGCATAACTAACTTACATTTAATTTTGCATTGGAAAGTCAGCTTCTGTGTCCTCTGTTCCCAGAGTTGACAGTATGTGTGTGTGTGTGTGTGTGTGTGTGTGTGTGTGTACGACACATCCTGGAATGCAGGATATTGGCCCTAAAAGAGGGTCTGCAGGAACGTTTCCTGACTCAGGGATCACAGTTCTCTATGAGAAGTAAAGTCACCAATATTCGCTAGTAAATAGAAAATAAATAACAATTCTATATCCATACATGACTGCTAACGGGGCTTACAGAGCAAAAAGAAAATGAGCTTTAATCTATCTTAGTTTGAGCTGGACTACATATGCTGTGAACTAACTGCTAAATCACAGTGCTCATCGCTCTTTTCTGACAGTGGAGTTGAGGCTCACTGGGTGTCTGTGGTGATGACTCATGATGATAGAGGCCTTGCTCCAGTTTGAACTGGAAATGAGATGGCCAATGCCTAATGAGCAGAGCACTGAGAGCAAGCCACAGAGTGAGCTAGTGAGTGACGAGCGGAGGCGTCCGAGCGTGACCTCGTGCCTTCCTCTCTCCAAACCAACACGTTGAAATCCGTAGCGTTCACATTTTCTGATTCCCTGGAGGTACTATTCCCAAGTACTGATGTATTAATAACTTTTGACCACAAATAGCTTCTAAAATGTGTCATGTTGAAACTACCCCCTTTAAGCATTTAGCTGAGTGTACATGTGCTAACTTGTGTTCACCTTAACATACTCAGCTCCGCTAGCCATTAAAATGTTGGCAATGCCTCATGCCATGACTTAGAAAACTGTTGAATATATTTTAGAACAGCGCTGTGTTTAGGGGTGTCAAACAATTACCTAGGGCTGTACTCAACGATTATTTCTGCAGCGATTCATCAAATGACTATTTTTCATATTAGTCTATTCGTCTAAAGACTTATTTATTGATCGTTAGAAAAATTATATCTTTTAAAATTCCTGATTACTAATAACTAATTTACCCAAAATTAATTTCAAAAATTGAGTTTTATACATTTCATGCACTCGCAGCTACTCCCTCAATCCCTGCTTCTTTTCCATCTCTCTCTCTCTCACACACACACACACACACACACACACACACACACACACACACACAC